AACTACCTCTGTCTGGAAATGTTCACTCCAAAGAGCAGTTTTGGAGGACGAATGTCTTCCTGGTTGAATCCGAATATAACAATATTTAAAGAAGAATTCTTTCCTTCCCAATCCATTTGTTTAGCGCCAAAATTTACCCATTTAGGGCTACTAGATCCATGATGCTAGACAGTTTCCATTGATTGCAGAGCGTCATACAACCGGGCGACCCAACTGCCCTGCTCAGCAGAACACTTTCCTCTCCGCCAAGGTTGGCCATCATTTAGTCCGAGACATGATCTTCATCCATTTGGGTGTCGCACCACTTGCGCAATATGACTGGGATATCTTCAAGCAACCTCTCGACCAGCACCCACGGCGACTCCTCGGCATCCAGGCCGAGCCACTTGACGTGGACTTCATAGTGGCCGTTCATCGCATTACGTGCTTCTTTCGGGCATTCAACATGGACACCACCATCGCGACATGCGACTTGCTCGACGAGGCCATCCGTGACCTCCCTACCACCTTCATGGTACATCTACACACGGCACGCATCATGTGTGGAAAATCCTTATGGCGTCACCAGCTGTTGAGTCTCCATAACGTGGTCCATGCCTAAGCGCACAACTTGTTCTGGTCCGCGCAGCTGCAGCACGAGCTTTGTTGGATATTGAACGAAAGCACCCACCAAAACAAAATCGTCCACACTACAGTAAACATAATTGACACGTGCTCTCTTGTTGCATCGTCAACACTCTTGCCGTCACATCTTGTCGCACGATTCGGTGACACTAGTCCATGGTGATCCTGGGGCGTGTATGTCCGTGCATATCACTTCATTCGACACCGGGTGTACAGCAAGCGCTAAACTCCTTCTGAGCGCGGTGATTATAGTGTAACATTTTGGACGGTGAACGGCACGAAGAAGCAGCATGATATACCTCTAGCTTCATTAACTCGACAGTAGGAATGCAGTTGAGTCATGCGTCAATAGGGGTTCATCAATGATTCCAAACGTTAAACAATTCAGACGACACCATAATATGCGACGCCACATGGCAGTCATGATTGTCAGCTAAAATCACAGAAGGCCCATCAATTGTCAAAATAGTTTTTATGCCCGTAACATGAACATTTTCTTGCCTCAAAGGAAAGCTCGGATGGTGTCCTTGGAGCGTCCAAGGTGCTTAGCAATGCACCGATATGACAATTTGTGTGCCCGAAAGGCCCTTGCAGCAGCCTGCTCTTCAATTGTCAGCTGCGGTTGACTTCCCATGCTGTATGGTAAGGAAACAGTTAAAAACATAGCTTTAATTCATGGCGTACCAGCGTTTGATAGAATGTCAATGCAGTTGAGGAGTAGGGGCCAAATTGTGATGACCTGCAATCTACTAGCGCCTTCGTGATTCTGTTTTCCCGCCAAAAGAAACGTTTGCCAAAGAGTTTGTAGACGTGAGAAGTCTAAAAAATCCCGCCAATCAACAATGAATACAGCAGTGTTGTTGCTTTGTGGTAAAATGATTGGCGGATTTTTTCTCCCTTCAAAACACGGTGGCTGCAACCATGTGGCGAGCAGTGTATCCAAGTCTGTA